AATAGACAAAACATGGTGTCAAACCTTTACACAACAAGATCACTTACTCTCTTGTATCCTGGCAAGCAATCCTCAACATATTCTTCAAGGAATTCACCACGCGAGGATATAATGATTCGTCATACTCTACTTGTCTCAGTAGATCCAGAATTATGGTAGTAGGGTCACTGTAAAATTGTAATAATGAGCCAAAGTTGTAGAGGAAAAGAAACTCGATAGTACATTATATCCCACCTAGGGTCCCTCACAAAATCATGAACTCTAATATGCAATTCATCCAAATCATCTTGATACTCTTCTTCGTACACATTAATCTGAGTCAGTAATGATTCTGGAGGGTTACTAGTCTTGATAGACTTGGCACACGCGTAAGGAAGAATATTAATAATCATAGTTTGGCCAGATAGCTAGTAACAAAGACAACTTACCGCAAAAACTTCTTCAAGACCTCTCCTTGTAAACTCTTCTCTCAGAACAACTCTCTCCTCAACTTCCTCGGGTGAATTCACAATGGCATTTATTAAACTCAAACAGGCTGTCTTATATTCTACAAAACTACTATCCTCTTCGTCATCATTGTTTGTTAATGTCTCTACTAAATGTTCAAATCGATATTTCTCCTCGTGTATATTACGGAAATCAGATAACGCGTTGAGAACCAGACGATGACCCTCAAGAGATAGCACACATAATGCAGCCAATACGTCTGCTACTTGAGCACGCAGTTTGTGATTTCGTGTACTTAGAGAGAACACTATGCATGAGATGAGAGAGGGAGATTGAATTACTCTACCAAAGCCAGGCTTATATTAATTGAATGATGAAAATAGTGAGCAATCCTTATACAATTTTACGGTAGCTTAATCGAGTACTATGAAAAAATTCTATTACCTCTGTATTCATTAATACTCGCAAACATCTTATACATTCTGCTTGTATTTTATCATCGTGATCAGATCGCTTCGCCGTACTAATTCACAAGCGTAATAAGTAAACCGTAATTTAATAGATCGACGTTCTATGTCCATATATTTACCGGTTCTTATGGAGATAAGTGAGCTTCGCCAGAATTGCCTCCAACGCTGATAAACCATTTAAGTCTAGAAAAGACCTAATCCACACCATCTTAACATGTGATAAAGTCACTCGTAGTGATGTCAATCGATTTGCAAGTACCTGTTGCGTATTCCTACGCGTAATGCAATATAAACTTAACCATAATTATCATCTGACATGCAAACCAATCGCTCGCAACTAATACCTCTGCGTTAATTCTTCAATGTAATACTCGGGAGTATCCTGAGACTTTGTTGAAGATGTTAACGATCCAAACCAATATTTAAGAAATCCTCTAGCAACGCCAGAGGATGTTGGTGATTGTGGCCGTTCTTCCTGGACGTTTGTAGGTTGCAAAGATGTTGGAGAGGTAGAATCGACGCTCGACCATGAACCACCCGACAGTCTATGGGATAAATTTGCATTCGGATCAGTATCATTATTGTGTGAGCTGTCACCTGTCATGGTGGAGGACTGATTCAATGGTGTATCTTTTGGTGAAGCCAAATCGTCGGTATTCGATTCCGAACTACTCATGCCAACACTAGATTGGTTTTGTATTCGTTCTTGTTGGTTGTCGAGACGCTGTTGCATGAATGCTTGAGCTTGTTCATTCGAATGAAGGATCAATCGTTTTTGATCATCGGGCATTGACATCATATTCTTTCTCGCGTGTTCAGGTAAGCCCAAATCAACCTACAAAGTAACGTGAATGAACATCATATTGGCAAAGCAATGCACACCATACCATAAAAGCAATTAAATTTCATTACCAAAAAGCTTGCAAAGACTGAATCAAGATCTTCTTCCACATCACTAGCAAGCGGAGAAATGTCACCGCAAATAGTTCCCAATCCAGTCTTAACACTGCTGTAGTCAATCACCGTTGCCCTTCTCTGAGCTTTTGTCGTATCTTGCTGACCGCCGACAGCATTCCACCAAGTACTTATGACATTGGGATCGAAAACAACACTCAAGCGAGAAGGTGCGAAAGACGCACGACGAACCGGGTTAGTATTTGCTATAATTTGTCGTGACCGGGAAGTGGCTACGCTTGGTTGGCTGTTGTCAGTATCCTTTGTGTTTGACTCTGAATTTTCCGTTACGTCGTTCAATGGTTGCGAGTCTGACAAAGTGGAATCGTGAGCGGAATCAAAGTCCATAGAACTTTTTCAATGGCTCGTTTAGGTTGTATAGATAATTAGCATTAGTTAAGAGTATTAGTATTAGTATGTTTAGGGAGTGTTGGATTTACGGTGATATCATCAATGACATCAGTGCGCTTTAAGTAAGTTAATATTACGGGGGGCAAGTGAGCATGTGATGTAGCTCATCACCTGACAAACCTCACATTTAGAAATATTGATATGGAGGGCATTGTGAATCAGGAGTCAGGCAGAAATAACATTCTTAATACTAAACGTTAAGAATTCAATTGTATAGCTTCTTCTTCAAGTAATTTTCTACCAATTCGTACAGTGTCGGCAGTGATCTCAACAATTACGAATTCCAGTTAATAATAAATTTTCAATCTGAGATTCTATTGCCGTTATTCAACAAATTTATTATCAGTCTCCTGAGAGAATGCAACCCATTCCCCGTCAGTAGTTTATTAGTCATGCTTTGCCACATTGAGTTAACGTCCGGGCTGTTGGGTCGTCGGTCAAGTAAATGTCATTGTCTTATTGCAAACGTCAGCTCTTTCCATGCAGCAGTAGAAGTTGGGTTTGAAATACCAGAATATTCCACATAAAAATAAAGGGGACCATCCATAACGATAATAATAATATTTATAGAACAAAATAACAAAATAATAATAAGCAAGTTTTCCCCATTCGAGACATACTCCCCCACGCCGACAACGCGAGATCTTGTCTGTGTAACCTTGGTTTTACATCAGTTTCCTCGTTTTGCTCAACGGTCCCCGTTTCTCCGAGTTTCGCGAGATTAGCTCAACAATACGAAGCGGAATATTGTACATCGAGCTAGCAATGTTTAATTGTTTGTTTTTGCGCTTTGAGCTTCGCGTTAAACCATCTTTGTAAACAAATAGAAACCTGTTTACTAGATACGAAATTGATTGTATTTGTACTCACCTCGCAAAATCACTATTTTTCGAAGTCTTTTATCCGTATATTAAGCTATATATAGTGTAACATTCTATTGTTCACTCGTCAATTGTTTCTCGATTGTCGATCATATGATCTACATTTTTCGCAATTATTATTCATAATTTGCTAATAGCGTGCGGGATTCTCTTTATCCTAGACATCGGATCGATTAAGTTTGCCAACACATCACTATCTATTGTCAAGGCCTATCTCCCGTCAACTCGTAGTAAATATATGTCATTAAAATGTCTACTATTTATTAATACGCTACGGTACTCGAATTGACATTACACACATTTAAGACATGACAAAAACTTTGGTAGAAACTTCTTGGGCACAACAGATTAAAAACGTCGTTGTTCGAAAGCTTCCTTATCGTTATAGCTAAAATTTCTGGCAATCTTAAATATCTATTGTTACGAAAAAGGATTTTAGGATTAAAAATAACAAACGTTCATCCTTTCCTTTTATGATATGGCAATGTAAAATAGATCAATAAAAATCAAGAACCGTAAAAGATACGGGAATGAAACTTTCACTGGCAACAACCGTACCTGTTGTCGATACACATGTTGAATTTCGCTACCAAATATTTAGTACTGCCGATCATAATCGCCGATACTATAATTTTTGAATTTGTTAGAATCCTAAACAAATGTTATGTTCATCGCCAGTTAAAATTTCAAGATGGTAACGTTTGTGGCTGTAGAGCAATTCAAACGTTATTGATTCATAAAAAAATGGCGGAGAATTCTTTTAAATAAGACAAAAACAGGCATAATAACTACACAAAAAATTTTATTTTCCAAATGTTTATAAGCAAGTGTCTGAATTTGAAAAGATTATAATGTAATACACTTTCGTTGTCAATTTAAGTGCAGTTGTTTGAGTTGCTGGTACTACTAACTTTGCCTTTAAGAATTGAATCACTTTTATAACTTAACATATAGCGTGTGAATCGAAATAAGAAAACTATCAAACTGTTCGTCGCATCATGATCAATTTAATAAAGCTATAATTATCAAAATCCATTTATTCGTTATTGATAAAACGAATGCTGAAATATTTCTAATATTTAACAGATAGAAAATTGCCACAAATTTGCTACTATCAAACTTTTGTTTTCGCAACGGTTATACTGCACCGAATAGTACACTTGTTTATTTAGGGTTTTCAGTAATATTAGAAAGATTATTATTATACCATGTTGAACAATGACAAACTAAAGTTACCCCGCCATTACTTTTGACCAGGACTGTACAACAGCATAAAAAACATTAAGAAGCAAATAATATACATCTTCCTATTCATCTCTAAAAGCTCCCTTTGCAACATTGCATTCCCCTTAATCTCCACTTGCTCAATCTGCATTCTCCATTTTCCAATGTCCAAAAAAGGTCATTACGGTGAAGAGTTGAGCAAGACTGCACGGGTCATTTGGAAAAGCACCGCTCAGCTCGAATGTTGCTGCGCATTTTATTCAGCATCAAATTCACTGCCAGTTTCATAAACTTTAGATCAATATTACACCGGCAAAGACAGCTAACAGTAAACGTGCTGTTAACTCAATCATATTTCCATATATGGAAGTATTTCGTATTTAATTGGTAAATCTTTGAATAAAACTCGTGAACTACAAGTTTATTCGAAAAGTGTTTGAATCACTAAATCAACGATTGTAGATTATATGAACAGAACCAATTGTTGTCTTTGTAACCGCCACTAAATCCAAACTATCTCCCTTACTCCTCGTCTACCTCCCCTAACTCTATTGGCAAGTTGAAATCTGATAAGGGAGGTAACTGATGAGAATTATTTCTTGGTTTAGGCAGATCTCTGGTAGGTAACAGAGTACTAGAATATTTACTTTCCTTCTCGAGACGTGATAAGGGTTTTACATCATTATGATAAACGACATTCCATGTGCTGTTATCAGAAGAGACATGCCCCGCCTCTTGAATAAGATCACAAATATCACTCCAAAGTGTCAATGCATCTGGACGCTTATCAGGATCAGCATCACAACACCGCTCGGCAAGTTTCTTATATCCCTCTGGCGCGGAATCAGGCATCGATGGTTGTAGTCCGCCCATAATATCGCATACTAAATCTTTATCGAACTGCCTATCTCTAAAAGGTGGTTCACCAGTAGCAATCAAATACATAATGATACCAAAAGAATACACATCT